CACACACACACACACACACACACACAGATAGAGAGATAGAAAGAGGAAGAGAAAGATAGAGACACACAGAGACACACAGAGAAAGAGAAAGAGTGTGTGTTTGAAGTAGAGAATGGAACCTGGGCTTCTTATATGCCAAGTACATATTCTGCACGGAGTTACATTCTGGGCCACTGAGTCCTATCTTTATGATTTTGAAGCAGGGTAACTTTCAGCATGGTAATGAAAGCTTAGAGTGAGCTTTCATTTCCTTGTAGTTAAATGATCATGTAACTACGGATATAGAGAAAGTTAAGTAAGTGCACAGTCCCTATGACAATGTCTAGAATATGGAAAATGTTACTAGTTACAGTAGTTACTTTGTTAGATATAGGACTAAAATAAAATGTTGTCATCATCTGTTAAATACAATATATAGTTGCTTCTTTGATTTGGATTACCAAGAATCCTGAGCACTTATCATTTTTACTTTTCTTTCCTCTCTTTCCTCCTGATTAATTTGTTCAAGGCACTCTTCATGTCCTCATTCCTAAAGGTATAGATTATGGGGTTCAGCAGAGGGGTGACAGCAGTGAAAAATGCAGATACAATCTTGTCCTCGGGAAGGCTGATGGCTGGACGTGAGTAGATGAAGATACAGTGCCCCAGGAACAGAGTGACCACAGTGAGATGGGCTGCACAGGTGGACAGGGCTTTCCTCTTGCCATCAGAGATCTGTTGCCTCAGACTCACAAGGATGACGGCATAGGATACTACAATTATCACAAAACATACCATAGAGATCATCCCACTGTTGGAGACGATGAGAATCTCAGTGATACGCGTGTCAGTGCAAGCCAGTTCAATCACCTGAGGTACATCACAGAAGAAGTTGTCAATCTCATCAGGACCACAGTAGGGCAGCTTGATGGTGAGTGAGGTGAAAGATATGGAGTGGATGGTCCCTGCTGTCCACATGGCCCCTCCCAGCACCATACACACCTTCCAGTTCATTATTGTCATATACCTCAAAGGTTTACAAATGGCCACATAGCGATCATAGGCCATGACAGTAAGCAGGAAGATCTCTGTGCAGGCAAAGAGGTGCAGGAAAAATATCTGGACCACACAGGCATCAAAGGAGATGAGCTTTTCTTCTGACAAGGTGTCGCTCAGCATCTTTGGGACAGTGACAGTGGAGTGGCAGACATCAATAAAGGACAGATTGCTGAGGAAGAAATACATGGGAGTATGGAGCCGGTGGTCGTATATGATTGTTATGACGATGAGGATGTTACCAGCCAGTGTCAGGACATAGAAAATAAGGAATATGAAAAACACAGCCATCTGTACTTTTGGATTTGCAGATAAACCTGTGAGCCGAAATGACATCACTGAAGTCTGGTTGATGAGGACAGCCTTTTCCATTCTTATAATTCTCTGTCACAAATTAAGGAAAAAACATGAAACAAATGTAACATTTAACATTTGCATCAATCATTTGGTCCCTTTATTTCTTAGACATTTATGATGTCATCTACATCTAGAACCTATGAGTTAAATATCTAGTTTATTTCCCATTCTCTTCTTCCTTTCCTCTTCCCTTGATGCTGGGGATTTGATAGAAGCTCACACATACTAAGTGCTTGTTTTATCTCTGAGCTACAGCCACTGTCTTGTTTCTTAAAAAACAAATGCTCTGTAGGAGCCAAAAGTGTCAAGGACACCACAAAAACTCTATAAAATCAACTAATCTGGGCTCGTAGGGGCTCACAGAGACTGCACTGACAACTAGGGATTTTGCTTGGGACTGACCTAGATCCTCCACACATATATTACAATTGTGAAGCTTGGTCTCCTTGTGGGACTCCTAACATTGTAAACAGGGCCTGTCTCTCATTCTGTTGCCTGCCTTTCGATCCCTTTTCCCCTACTGGTTTGCCTTTTTCAGACTTAATAGGCAAAGACATGCCTAATCTTTCTGCAACTTGGTATGCCAGGGGTGGTTGAGATCCACGGGAGGCCTGCTCTTTTCTGAAGAGAAAAGGAATGGATGAGTGAGGAAAGAGGGGAGGTAATGGGAAGAAAGGAGTGAAGGGAAACTGCAGTTGTCATGTAAAACAGTCTAAATAAATAAAAAAAAATAAACCGTAAGACCACCCCATGAGCCCTCAAGTAGCTTTAGGCATGGAAAGAAAAAGAATTTTTATAGGAATATAATAACTATTTTCAAAAATATGTGTGCGATATTGTCTTGGGTGTCTGTACATAGTATCTTAAATCTAAAGTATGTAGCCAGATGCTTTGGAATATTAGATTATAACAGAAAAGCAGCAAAGAAAAAAGTACTATGATTAATGCTCCTCAAATTCAAAATAAATAGTGTCTTCTTGTGAGGTAGTTAGGTGTAATGCAGATTTTGTTGCAAATGAAACAGTGTTCTCAATTCTTTTAGTTCCCATTTATCAATAACAAGGGCCGGTCCTGGCCAGTCATAGGCTTTCATCCATAGTGTAGCAAATATATAGTGTGGCTCTAAGAAATCTACTCCAGAGCCAAAGGAACATACATTAAGGTGGAGACAAAAGAAATCTGTATGTGCAGTGGGTGTTGGGGTCTTCCAGAGACCCCCCTCAGGACTGAGAGGCTGATTTCAGCAAGTGTTGGGGGAACTGCTAGCAAATAGCCCCCAGCTGTCATCCTGCTTTGAAAAGTATCTTGCCACACCTGCCTTGCCAGCCATGCTGACTGCAGCTTCAGTGTGACAAAAAGACTTGAGGGAAGTTCTAGTGTTAAGATGGCTCTGGAACCTTCTCCTCTGTCAGGCAGAGGTGTGCAGCAGAAGCCTGGATATTTGTGGAGATGTGCCTCTTGGGCCTCTGGGATTCTGCAGGGATATGGGATTTGGTTTCATTCTTTTTATTGTTTTGTTTAATTTTCTAGCTATTGCATGGCCCTCCATAATGGTAGTCACAGAAGCCAGGGTGATTCAAACCTTTGAACATTCTTTAGAAGAAGCCATCAGGAACATTTCCCTGAATGGCATGGAAAGTCCTTTGTGAGGCTTGTAATACATATGTAGGATGTAAAGACAGAAAATCAGACAGAGGTTTTGTTAGATATTGCTGATGCTGTAGATAAATATGCAGGGTCAGCTTGGTGCAGGTAGAGTCATAGGCTGATGTGCAGAAAAATAGAAGAAGTTGAGCAATTGCTGAAGAAAATTCAGACAGATTGGCCAAGAGAACCGGCAGTAGGTTCAACCACATTCTAAGAATAAGCCCGAAACTGTCTGCATGAGGTGACCACCAGTCTGGTAGGTCACCAGGGCATTGTATCTTTTCCTTGGAAGTTATTATTTTATAATGATGACTAATTCTGTTATGATGTAAAGAAAAAAAGAATTGAAGAAGTGTATAGCTTGGCATTTTGTCAAAAGTACAGTTCCTGCTTTGACTGTATAAAAAGTTTGCTATGAGTTAGTAAAAATTGCAGCAGCATTGAAACCTCTTTGGTGTTCGTGTTGTCTGTCGCGCCAAATCCGTTCCCCACCTGAATATCTTCCCATTCCCTGGTTCGGTGCCGGGATACCCCACGGGTGGTCCGCGGCAGTATCTTATCTATACACCTTGGAAGGCAGCTGCAGTTCAGCCATTGACATGATAAAGTGTGTTTCTCTTTCCTCAAGTCAGGATAACTGGATAAGGACCGTCCTGGCTTCAACCTTCTCACTGACCTTAGTGCAGTCACTGAGACTGCAGAGGAAGACAACTCCTCCCTTTGCCCAGCTAGGCTTCCTTCTTCCAAGGGAGATGATTCCTATAGGGCTCCTAATAAACAAACATTCTTCACTCTCAAAAAAAAATCTTTGAACATCTTCACTAGATGTTAAAAATCACACTTTGGAAATAATGCTATAATGAGGTTCGCTTTACTAGGAAATTAAAAGTCACCTTGAAGAGGAAGGCGGAGAGCTCAAAGAAGCTATTTATCCCTTACTGTAGCAATGTATCAGTGTTTAGAGAAACTTTAAATATTTTTGGGGTTTTTCTGGAGACAAGAGTCTCAAATAACCCAGACTTGCTATATAGTTGAGGGTGTCCTTGAACTCCTGATCCTTCTGCCTCCTTTCCCGACTGCTGAGTTTGCTGATACACATCACAACCAGCTCAGATTATAGATTAAGATTATCCACACTTTAAATAGGTCCTTTGTTTAAGGTCCTTAAACTTGGCCTTTGAATATAGTTTCTATTGTTTTCTCATTGACTGTACTTTCCACTAGCCCACATCTCTTCTCCCCTGGTGGTTTTGCCCAGGTACCTGGAGCTTGATGTTCACAGTGTCAGTATTTGAGGACCACACCATGCTGCTGGAGAGCTGGTCATGTGGGTGTGATGTTTGTTGAACAGTTCTTTAGATAAGACTGAATAAACCCTAGAAGCTCTACACTGCAGACAGGCTTGCCCTCAACCTGGAGGTCAAGGTCCAGGCTTAGCAACATCTGTGTGTTCACTAGATCATCCCAGCTCTTCAGATTCTCATTCTGTTATTTGTTTTACAGGTCTATGAGTAAATCCAAAGAAGCTGTTTTATTTATTTATTTTTTTAAATGAGCTTTCGTTTGATCCAAGTACCACTAGTACTTTAAAAGATTTTATTTACTAATTTATTATTTATGCATCTATCATGTATGTATGTATGTATGTATGTATGTATGTATGTATCTGTATATCTATCCATGCATCTATGTATATATGTATCTATGCTTCCATATGCAGTCTATGTGCATGGGTGTTTTGCCTGCATATGTTAATATGCACCGTGAATGCCTGGTGCCTGTGGAAGTCAGAAGTGGGCATCAGATTATTCTGGAACTGGAGTTACAGATGCTTAAAAGCTTCCATATAGGTGCTATTGAGAGAACTTGGGGCCTCTGCAAGAATAGCCAGTGCTCTTAATTACTGAGACCTCTCCACTCCCACTACTGTTTTTATAACAATTGTATGTTCTGTATAAGAGTCCCAGGATTTTAGTTCTTAAAGGGGTTGAGGGTTTAATTTTTTTCATTTAACAAATGGCAAAATTGAGGCATATAGAGGTAAAGCACTAACTAGGCTCAAAGTCACGCAGAATTGGAGTTTAAGCTGGGTCTAGAGATCAGGTTTCCTGGCCCAGGGCTTTATCAACTTCACCTCTGCTCAGAACTTCTGTGGTGGCCAGAATAATAGGAAAGTGAAGCAGAGGTGTCTTAATACCCCTCTTTCTTCTCTTAGGTGTCCTGAGTCTGCTTGGGGTTTGCTCTCATACAGCCCCATTTCTCAGGCTTGCCCAATCTTCATTGCCCACAGCTTTCCAGTGATGTCTTACCCAAGGAACCTGTCTGTCTTTGTCTTTCAGAGTCTCTCATCCTGTGCTGTCCATTCTATAACATTCCTCAGGATCTGACTCTGCTGGACAAATCCATCCTCCCCATATTGCTTAGGGGAAACTTCCCCTCTGCTCTCAGCAATTTCTAACATTCCTGTCATTCACCGTTCCAGCCTTATGCAAATAATAGACACTTTTGCTGTTTGTGTCAAAAGAAAGATTAAGAGTAATGTCACCTTGAAGCACTCATCAAACACAGCTGTGGCAAACAGGATACTTTTAGACAAAGGTCTTTCAATTAACATCTCAAACATAACCAGACTAGTGTTCTGTTAGAATTTACAGCAACATCTTTACATAACTATGGATTAATTTTGCATTTTATCATTTTTCTTAGAGCATGCATTTAACATTTTTTCCTTTGTTACAGAAAACTATTTCAGTTTTTTAATTAGTGACTTACAGCCATTTTCCCTTGTTTTGATATTAAAAGTTTGAAGGACCAGAGGTTGATTTTAAATTCATCATGTGACATTTGTTCTGAAGACTTCTGCTTCCTCCTCATTGGACAGTGATATACACGGTTACCTCACTCTCCTGTCAGCATTTTTCTTGGACTTCTGTGAGCTCACCAGAAAAGATGTTTGAAAAACACAGTGCCCAGTGATATCAAATAAATAATGAGGTCAAAAATAAGGGCTGGAGATACAATTCAGAGTTAAGAGCACCTGTCACTCTCATGGAGTACCCGGGCTCAGTTCCCAGCATCCATAACTCTGGTTCCAGGATATTTGATACCTTCTTTGATCTCCATGGGCACCAGGCACTCACATGGTACATACACACACACAGACACAACACTCATACATGTAAGATAATCTAACTAAATTTAAATCTATCTATCTATCTATCTATCTATCTATCTATCTATCTATCTATCTATCTATTTATCTATCTCTACCTATTCACATACACATACATGGTGCATGGAACTACACATTTCAGGAAAATATAGATTATGAGCAAAATAAGAAAAAAATCTATAAATCTCACCTGAGTGCTTTCTGATTCTCTCAGTCCCTTCAAAGATACCTGGGTCTTTGTTCCGGAAGTTTGAATATAATGAAAATTATCTTCTAGCAGAAGAATAAACTTCCTTTAAGTTGGATAAACTTAGATAAGTCAGAAAACCTTGTATTATCGCAGTTCTTGGAGAGCCTGTTGGTCATGAGTCAGGACAGAGAGGTACTATTCCAGATTTCTGACAAAACCATCTTTTTGCATCTATACTCTTGCCCTCTCCTCTCTACGCAATTAATTCTGCAGTAAGAGTTCCTAGGATGGCGTCCAGCTGACTGAAGCTGTTGAGTAAGTGCAGTGTATCTTCTGTGTTTTTTCAGACCCAGAGAGGAGTAGAGATTCAGAGCTGTGGGCAATCAGTTTCAGAGCTGTCCCAGTTATCAGGACAATTTAAGAACAAAAGGTCACCAATTTACTCAGAATCCCATTGTGGATGAAGTGTCTTGTTTCCTCCTGTTGCACACTTTAGGTGCAAGTCTTATCATTAGTTCCAAATGCAACGTTCAGCTTTTAAGCTCTGAATGGGAACCATAAAGGAAGCAAACAGCTGTGGCTGGCAGCTGTTGTGTTGGTGGTGATCTACCTGAATTGCCAAGGCTTTATTTCCAAGGCAACATCCAAACCATGACATCAGCTTGCCAAGTTACTAGCTAGAAAAAGTGAATTCTGTGTCTGCTGATGTAATCGCCTTGGTGTTTGTCTCTAAGGGAAGTTAATGAAAATAAAACAAAAACAGAAAACCAAACAGAACTTGAATACCTTTTTGGAGCATGTTGTATATAATTAAATTAACTACTAGTATTTAGTGACCCTATGTGAAGAGCTAATTACTAGGTGATAGCTCTGCATTTTCATATTTAATTTATGAGAACACAGACATGAGAAGGGCTCAGCCAGCTCTGTGATAGTGTATATGCTTTGTCTGGGTATTAGAGTGTCTGGGTGCAATTGTAAGTCCTAGATGTTTAAAATCTGGGAAGTGTGTCAGGTCTCTGATCCTTAGTTTCCTCTCCATAAATCATGAAAATGGCCAGCAAGATGGCTCAGTCGGGTAAAGGCCTGCCGTGTGAGCTTGGCAACCTAAGTTTCGTTCCTGAGACACACCTAAAGGTGGAAGGAGAGAACCAACTCCACAAAATTGGAGAACTCTGACCTTCACATGTATATTATGTGGTGTGTACATATGCCCACTCATTCTTTCTCTCTCTCTTACGTATCTAAGAAAACAAAATTATCCCCCCCCCCCCCCCGTCTGACCTCAGTGGGAAAGAACGTGCCCCGTTCTGGAGCTACATGATGAGCATGTGGCTGGGGGGGGTAGTGTGGGGGAGTAACAACCAGGGGGGCCTTCCCCCTCTCAAAAGAGAAAGGGAAAGTAGAATAGGGGAGGAGAGAAAAGACTGATTTGGAGTTTTTAAGTGAATAAATAAAAAAATAAAAAAGTAAAAATAAAAACAAAACAAAACTCCCATCAGTTGATGAGAACTTATGTTTTTCCATTTCCTGATTTTGATGAAAATGGTAAACACTCAATAGCAGCTGTCTCTTTATTTCTTTTGATATACCCACAGTGTGATTGAAAAAAATCATATGATAGTTGTATTTTTAATTTTGAGGAGCTGTTTACACATTGGCTTAAGAAAACAGTATGCAAATATTCCCTTTCCCTCATCCTTGCCAGCACATTTTATCTTTGCTTTATCTATTTTATTTTATTTTTGAATGTATGTGGCACTGGAGAGAAAACTTACAATCTACAACAGCAGCAACAACAACACCTTTTATTTGTCTTTAGAATTAATCTTTTTTTTGAGACAGGATTTCATAGTTTTTGTTTATTTCCTTTTCTTTTATATTTTTATTTTTTTTTTAGTTTTTCAAGACAGGGTTTCTCTGTGTAGCCCTGGCTTTCCTGGAACTTACTTTGTAGAACTGGCTAATCTTGAACTCAGAGATCCATTTGCCTCTGTCTCCCAAGTGTTGAGATTAAAGGTCACCATCCTGCTTATTATGATTTTTTCACTATAATATCACATTTATTGGATATTTTATTTATTTACATTTCAAATGTTATTCCCTTTCCCAGTTTCCCCTCTGGAAACCCCCTATTCCCTCCTCCTCCCCATGCTTCTATGAGGGTACTTCCCTACTCACCTGCCCACTCCTGCCTCACCACCCTGGCATTTTCCTACACTGGGGCATCGAGCCTTCACAGGACCAAGGTCTTCTCTTCCCATTGATGCCCAATAAGGCCATCCTCTGCTACATACGTGGCTGGAGCCACAAATTGCTCCATGTTTATTTTTTGGTTGGTGGTTTAGTCACTGTGAGCTCTGGAGTGGGGGTCTGGTTGGTTGATATTGTTGTCCTTCCTATGGGGTTGCAATATTAAAATAATGTTTTTATTTATTCTTTGAGAATTTCATTACTGTATTTTGATCTTATTGTTTCTCCTCCCACCTCCTCAAAGATCCTACCTTCCTCCTTTCCCACTCAACTTCATGTCCTTTCTTTCTCTTAAACAACCCAACCCAACCCAACCCAACCCAACCCAACCCAACCCAACCCAACCCAACCCAACACAACCCAACCCAACACAACTCAAACCAAACCCCAAAAACCCTAAACCCCAACCCCAAACCCCAAAACACACACCCCAAACCCCAAAACCCCCCAAACTCCCCAAGCCCCCCAAACCTCCCAAACCCAAACCCAAAACCCAAACCCCAAAATATCCAAAACACTCCAAACACCCAAAACACCCAAAACACCCCAAACACCCAAAACACCCAAAACCCAAAACCCAAATCCAAAAAGGTCCAATCCAATCCAATCATCCAATCCAATCCAATCCAATCCAATCCAATCCAATCCAATCCAATCCAATCCAGTCCAATTCAAACAATGCAGTGTAAGCACTGGGCCTGCTATGGAGTATAGTTGCTATACCTACTTTTACTATGTTGGAGAAAATGGGTTTCCTTCCTCAAGCATCATTTCAAATAGTTTCTTGGTAGGGCTAACATTTCATGCTTATTTCCTCTCATCCATGGTGGGATTTTGTCTGGTTTGAGCGTGTTCAGATCTAGGGCATGCTGTAACAATCTCTTTGAATTCATATATGCATCTGTCCTAATGTCTTTGGAAATAATTTAAAGAAAAATTATAGCTATCTTTATAGAGTCATATGACATCTTATTACTCTTTGAGCTGAGGGTTATTTGGACTATGGTAACCAGGTTTTATGGACAATAATATTGGAGATCACTCTTATGATATTTTGGCCAAAAAATGTGTCTGCTTTTCTCCTGTCCTAAGAATTTGCCTGAGGCCAAGTTGAAGAGTTTTGTATTAATATTCTTGGCAGAGGAGATTTCAAGAGTTTAGTATTGATTGCATGACATGATTATTAGTGATTACTTTTATATACTACAATGAAAAGAGTAAATGAGGCAAGTGAGACTGAGGTCCCACATGAGACAAAGAGAAATGTGTACAGTTTGAGGAGAAAAGGAGCACTAGTGTCTTAGGATTTCCATTACTTGGAAGAGACACCATAACCAAGACAACTCTTATAAAGGACATTTAATTGGGGATGGCTTACAGTTTCAGAAGTTTAGTCCATTATCATTATGGTAAGAAGCATGGCAGTGTCAAGGAAGACATGGTGCTGGAGAAAGAGCTGAGAGTTCTACATCTTGATCTGAAGGCAGGCAGAAGGATACTGTCACTAACAGGCAGCCAGGAGTCTCTCTTCCACACTGGGAAGAGTCTGAGCATAGGAAGCCTCAAAGACCACCTACAAAGTGACATAATTCCTAAAATAAGGCTACACCTCCTGATAGTGACACTCCCTATGGCCAAGCATTGAAACACATGAATCTATTGGGGCCAAACCTATTCCAACCACCACAACTAAGAAATGTAATGATGAAACCAACTCTTGTGTTCAAGCTGATAAAAAGTTTAAAGAAAAGTCAATTCAAAGTGGGATAAAAGGAGTGATAGCTTCAGAGCAAGGCCCCACTCAACTTAGCTTCCAAGCTATAGAAGGAATTAAAGGAAAGCTTAACCATCAAAGGAAATAATCAAAACAAATACTATGTAAATGTAACTCAAGAGGGGGTTGATTAGAGGTGGGGAGTAAGGAGTAGTGTGGGTGGGCTGCATGTCCAGCCCCCAGAAACAGAACTCAGAGCCTTTGGTCATATGGTTCTAGATTTAAGAATACTGGAGTAAAGTGGTTGTAGAATCTTCTTCTGTAGCTAAAGAAAGCTGCCAAGGCCAGGCATGTGACAGGGGAGTCCCCACATGGAGGCCCAGAGAGGTCATTTAGTGAATGTGTGAAAGCAAGGCCTAGATTGTGTTGGAAACCCCAAGATGTTGGGTATGCCAGAGCCATAAGATACCTCTCAAGGAGAGCAGACAGGGCATAAAGCTAGCCAGAGAGAGAGAGAGAGAGAGAGAGAGAGAGAGAGAGAGAGAGAGAGAGAGAGAGAGAGAACTGTGTTGCAGTCAACAAAGCTAGAAGGAGTTGGAGATCTGAAAAATGCTTTGATATCAGACATGGAGTTACAAAATTTGGTACTTCTCCTGCTATTTGGTACTTCTCCTGCTGGGTTTTGGTCTTGTTTTGGTCCTCTTTATGCCCCCTTTCCTCCTTTTTGGAATGGTAATGTATATTCTTTGCCATTTTATGTTGTAAGTATGTGGCTTGCTTTTACAGAATTGTCTTCTGTAGCTAAGAAAGCTGCCAAGGCCAGGCATGTGACAGGGCAGTCCCCACATGGAGGCCCAGAGAGGTCATTTAGTGAATGTGTGAAAGCAAGGCCTAGATTGGGTTGGAAACCCCAAGATGTTGGGTATGCTAGAGCCTTTTTGGAATGGTAATGTACATTGTGTGCCATTTTATGTTGTAAGTATGTGGTTTGCTTTTACATGGGATTACAGCTAAGAGATTGTCTTGAGTCTCAGAAGAGTTTATGGACTTTTGAACAGTATTGAGATTCAAGGACGAGGGGACTTTTGAAGTTGGACTGAGTGCATTTTACATTATGATATGACCATAATCCTATGGGGGCCAAGGGATGGAATATGGTATTTTGAATGAGAAGTGCTTCAATAGGTTCATATGTTTGCATGTTTAGTGCCCAGCTGATGAACTGTTTGGAAAGGATTAAGAGGTATGGTTTTGTTAGAGAAGATGTGTCACTGGGGTGGATGTGGTGGTTTGAATAGGAATAGCCAAGGAGTGGCACTATTAGGAAGTGTTGTCTTTGATTTGTCTTCACATAAATTGAACATCTTTTTTTTTTTAAGATTTATTTATTCATTATATATGAATACACTGTAGCTGTCTTCAGACATACCAGAAGAGGGCATCAGATCTCATTACAGATGGTTGTGAGCCACCATGTGGTTGCTGGGATTTGAACTCAGGACCTCTGGAAGTGCAGTCAGTGCTCTTAACCACTGAGTCATCTCTCCAGCCCCTAAATTGAACATCTTAAAAGGAAGGCTAGAGAAGCAAAAGGTTCATCCCAAGCCCAAGTGACC